ATAGCTCGGTTGGGTCATCACGATAGGCAAGTCCGACCACCGCGTCAAGGTAGCAGCTTCGGTCGGGATACGTATATAGAGAGAGAGATAGGGAGAAAGAGTTAGATCACTTACAAATACATAGAAAGTCTATTTATACACCTAATAAATAAGCTCAGAGTATGGTTTTCAGTGATAAAAATCAGATAAAGCAAACTTAACAAACCAAAAAAAACTGTTTTCCTCTCTTCATATTTTTTTTAATTTTTCTAAATTTCAGTAACACCTTTACACCTTTATTGATAGAAAAGATTAATAATCACAATTTATTTGATCATACAATATGCTAATCATGTTTGTTTCTATGTATGTATGTATGTATGTGCATCCGTGCGGGTGTACATGTGTGTGTGTGCATGTTTTTGTGTCTGTTTGTAGGTAATCTGTAGGCATCTTAATTTTCATAAGTTTTTTTGTCGTCACGGTTATGTAAAACAAAACAAAAAGACAGAAACATTTATCATAAATATCTATATTCCTGTATCTATATAGATAGTTTTATGTGTAAATTGTATCTAAGGTAGAAGTGATTACATTTTTTATTTAATCAATTTACTTCAATGAATCCAATTGTAGTAAAACATGATTTAAGTCTTAATTACAGATCAGTCTACTTGTGTTATTACAAGTAAATAAAGTAAAAAGAACGACAACAACAACAACGACGAAGAATAACTTGTTACCTTTAAGTGTGTATGTGTGTATGTGTGTGTGTGGGGGGGGGCTGGTTGTGTATGTACTTTTTCATTTAGATTTTCTATTCTCTATTTAGAATCATCAGATCATTGTATTAAAATGGATTATATTAAAACAACATTTTATTCATGTAGGCATCCACATATCTATGTGATAAATGATTATGAAATGGGTATTGCTTTCATTGACATATATATACATATACATATGTATATTTGTCGAGTTAATATTCATTTGACTCAAGGTTATGGCAACTAAATGCATCTCATTTTGGTTGAATAAATTTTGTTTTTCGTTTTTTTTTGGTTTTTCATAATCAATGAAAATTTTTCAGATTTTTTTTCTAAATTTCTTTCTTATTTCTATCTATGATATTGTTACTGATAAGTAAAGATCGATAATGGTTAATAATGGAATTCAACATGTATGTTTCATCATATTTAAGACTCATCAACTGGATATATCTACATTTTAATATTAATGTTCACTGTGGAACAAGAACCCAGTACTGTTCACTTTAAACAACAGAATAACATTTCAATGGTTGAAATCAATTGAGTCAATTGAAGCTAGATCATCATTGAAAACCTGGAAGCACTGGACGGCCGGTTCGTTCTAGTATGGGAGTTTAACCAGGTCTGTTGTGAGATAACAACTCACTGATGACAATGGTGTACGGTGGCGCAACTCTATGGATTGGTTAAAGTTAGACATTAACACCATTGGATGCCAGCTCCGTGGTCTAGTTGGTTTAGCGCTCGCGCGCAACTGATAGGTCCTAGGTTTGAATCTCGCGGTGTGCGGGGTCGTGCATGCACACTGGCGAGGAGACCCACAATAGAACGAAACGGCTGTCCAGTGCTCCCAGGTTTTTCATGATGGTCTAGCTTCAATTAACTCATGATTTCAACTATTGAAATTTCTAAAATCTCTCCAAAACCCATTCCGATAATAATACTGTAGTGAAGGAGAACACGGATGAGGCCAACCAAATTGGTATTTAGCATAAATCACAGAATTACTTGGTAAAATAGAAAAACCATATAGTAAATTGTTAATTTGCAAAATATTATTCCATCATATCAAACCGGACTGTTGCTGTTGCAAACCTCAATCCATTGTCTCACATTTCATTGTTCATGCGATTTCTTACAAATTTCATTGTGTTCTCGCTCTTTCTTTCTTGATCTTCTCCATCTTCTGCTGCCAGACATTACGTTCTGTTAACTCACGTTATATACTACTTATATCGATACAAGTAGCACGCACCACAATACAATAACATGTTAATAATTTAGAATAGTAGCTGTTTGGTTTTCTTCATATTTCAAGTAAAATTGTATCTACTTTACGACCAAAACTATGATTAAACAATGAAATAGATCATCTTCACAAAGTAATAATGATCACATCCTCACAACTAATTGATTTCATTAAGAAAATAGTTTTTATAAATTTTAACACTAAGCCTTAAACAATGAAATTAGTTATGAAAACAATCATTTGATAACTTACAAGTGATATTTACTAAAGAAAATGGGATAGTGGAAGAGATTTGTAGCTTAGGTGGATGATTTTGATGGCGTTTTGTTCTGTGAGCTGGATGGTTTAGTCGTGGAGCTTTCATCAGTACAAACTTCAGGTAGAAGTTGAAAGCTCTACAACCAAATTATCCAGCTCAGAGAACAAAACTCCACGAAAAAAAATTGTAAAAAATGAATTTTATAATTGAATTCATGAGTCAATCGAAGCTAGACTACTATGGAAAACGTGGAAGCATTGGAAGGTCGTTTCGTCTTATTGTGGAACTCCTCAACAGTACGCATTCATGATCCCGTCTAGCGAGATTCGAAGTCACGACTTATCAGTCAAGTACGCGAGCACTTAACCACTAGACCACTGAGCTGGCCGGCATCCAACGGTGCTAATGTCTAACATTAACTAATCCACGAAATTGAGCGATACATCCACCATTGTCTTGAGTGAGTCACTATCATACAACAAACCCAGACGTCCAGTGCTTTAAGGTTTTCCATGGTGGCCTAGCTTTAATTGACTCATGAATTCAGTCATGAAATCACTAAATTCTCCACAAAACCCCCTTTTGAAAATGGATTTCTTAAAATTTGTAAACATATAAATGGTTGAATGTAAACTTGCTGATATACATTTCTATTGTATGTGATGAAACTTAAGTTTCTGATCATAATCCTATTCTGTCTTGTAGATAAATACTACTAATTAACTACTAATTGTAATAAAGATAGAAGTGTAACACCCACTGGTTGATGCTGATTCATAACAAGTTTAAATAATTCCAATTTAGTGCTAATATCCCCTATTGTGATACAATTAGAAAACAAAGTTGTATATCTCAACGGAACAACACATTTCCTAGTGATTGAAGTCAAACTACACTAACGAATGTAAATCAACATAAACTTCAAGTGTAAAGTCACCTATCTACTGATTTCAACCATTTTAAATATGATTATGGTGAACCTAATGTTAAAACAGGTTGAAATAAATCAGTACACTTCGATGAATATGCAACTGTATTTGCAACACAGCTACTAATATGAATTTAAGTAGTATAAAATTCTAAGAAACAAATTATTCGTAAGTTTGTAGAACAAGAACACGAGTGGGGGACAATCGATTGTATTTGAACATGAAATTACAGAATATCCCACTAAAATCTGAGAACCATACAGTACACTCTATTCCTGACTATTGTTATGCACTACTTATGTGGATGTGAGTAGCTCACACCACAATATAACTATCAATATTCATTTATATCCATTTCGGTTCTTATTGATTCATAATACCTCCCAAGATGAAAATAAAATTGCAATTTTTAAAAAAAATTGAAGTGTAATACTGCTCTACATTGTTTATATGTCTCATTAGGTTCATGAAAGTGTAATGAATTACAATTAGTTTTTATATCTTAAAATCAATAATTTTTATTATAGAAAGGTATACATGTAGTGTGGAGTCGAGTCGCGGTTGACTATGACCACCACTACAGGAAGACTACGTGCCAGTTAACCGATAAGACCCACCATAAGCCAAATATAAGAAGATAGTTGATAGCTGTGATCCAGATGTATTCGTTGGCGATCTCCTTGTATCGAAAGGATACCGAGATCGTACCAGGTTACTAGTGTGATTACTGAGCGTAACCAAATTCGTACAACGTCACAATCAACGGAAGAATGTATGTCTTCAGTACAGTTAAGCGAACAAGTACAGTAAAACAATCACTCGTACAATCGGTTATAATAATAATTGTTCCCATTAAACCAATGGCGTTCTGTTGATAAAGGTAGGTCACTAAATACTAATGCACACATAATCATTTTCTTTGAGAATTCTTTAGAAAAAACTGGGGGGAGGACTGTATGAATACTTTTATAAATGATCCTACACAAAGATTTTCACTATTTTTATGTGGGGACTTATTGAATTGTTTACAAGATAAAATTTTGCAACAAAGATGATGTTTACTAACTTGCTTATGTCTGTTACCCGTCGTGGAGGAGCATAGACCACCCACCAGTACACTCCATTCAACCCTGTCTTGCGCAGTTCTTTTCAGTCTATTTCTAATTCTCGGAGCATTACATTCTTTAGTCTCCGTCTTCTCTGTTTCCCTTCAGAAATCCGAGTTAGCACTTGTCTAATGATTTCTCCAATGTGTGTTCTATCTACTTCCAACGTTTTTTTTCCTCCTAATTTCGCCATCAGATAGAAGTTGGTTTGTTTTCTCATACAATAGATTATTGATAATGATAACTGATCAACGGATATTGAATGTCTTACGTAGACAACTGTTTACAAATCCTCGATTCACCCTCATTTTATTTAAATCATCTATCATATTACATCTGCAGCAGCAATTTGGAAGACTTTCATATTCTCCCACATTGTACAAGCATTCCATGGTTGTCAGAAAGGGCATCGGCCTCGTGACTTCCGAATGAACTCGTGAGGCGTCATAACTCTTTTAAATGAAGACCTTCTGACTCCCATGGCAGAGTTTAAATGGTTTGAGTAATTTTTTCTGGTTAGCGTTTTTTTTAGCCAGTAAGCCATCTAAGGGATAGGATCGCTAACCCTATGCCCAACCCTCTTCCTTTATCCGGGCTTGGGACCGGTAGTAGCCCCCGGAGGGACTCTAGGCAAAGTTACATCACATATATATACATTGATTCATTTAATCAATAAATTCCTTTATTTCTTTTTTTAAAATAATTTAGCTTATCTACTAAATCTTGGTGAATTAAAACAACGTCGTATTATGTCATTATGTAATATGACTAGATTACATATTAAAACTTATTATGATATACAAAAGAAATGGTTATGTAATATTCATTCTAATGAATTAACACAACGTAATCAAATAAGTCATGAAACATTGAAAAAATTAACTGAATCACAAATTATTGAACGTCAAACAGCATGTAAATTATTAAAACAATCTATTAAAGGTCAAAAACAAATGATACAATTATTAGAGGATAATTTAAAAAGAAAAGATGAATCTTTGAATAAATCAGAACAAACATATACTACTAATAATACTACTACTACTAACAATACTACTAATAAAACTACTTATAAATCAAGATTATTCATTGAACAATTAATGGAATCACCATATTTTATTCAGGAAGATTATTCATCGGAAGATATGATAGGGATACAAAAAAATCGTTTAATACCATTATATTCACCAAGTTCAATAACTTCTATAAATGGGAGTAGTAATAGTAGTAATGGTGGTCGTGGTGGTGGTGGTCGTGGTGGTGGTGGTGATGGTGGTAACAGTAGTAGTAATAGTAGTTGTTGTAAAGAATCACAACAATCAAATGATCTAAATGAAAAATTCAAACAATCCAATTCAAATTCTGTAAAAACAAGAATTGTTGAAATACCAACTGATTTACATCAACAAAATGATATAATAAATAGAGCTAAATCAACACAAAGTATTCATTCAACGATAAGTGTAAGTTTGTTTGTTTGTTTGTTTAAGCCTTTTGATATCAAGTGATTTTGTTGTTGATGATGATTTACGTAAGCCAGTTACTCTTTCACCTCCCTCGCCCTTATGAAGCATTGACCATCAATCAGTAATTTGTAACTAACTCTGTTCTCGGGAGGGGGGAGAATATATGATTTTGTATTCCGTGTATAATGGTTGAAAAGTTTTTGGCAGTTAAACGTAATCAGTTACCTAAACGAAGATGGATAGTGGATAGCAGTGTAATCTAGGATGTGTGCTTTGTCCTATTTGAGACTCGTTGGCCGGATGTACCTCCATACCAAAGTTGATGTTCACTTCAGGACTGAGTAGCTAAGTGGATAACGTGATGGTGTTTCAAGCGAATGGTACTGGATTGGAGTCACAGAGTGAACATTAACCCTGAGATGCAGGTAAATCCAGTTGACGAGTCTCATATAGGCCGAAACGTGCATCCTGGATTTCACTACTAGCCACTATCCATCTTTGCTTAGAATACTTGTTAACTCAGGTAATATCAAGACAATCCGTACAGGATACACATATGCCAATAAGAGATCGATCATTTGCAGTCCTAAACATCAATGGAAAGATTCAAGTAAACAATACTCAGTGGATGATCAGTTACTTTTTAAAGTTAACTAATCTTATTTCTAAAGATGTGGTACGTCTATACTTCTTCCGTTCAAGATTGATTTCATTATGACGAATCCGTAGAAGTCCAAGATCATATAGAAGATGATTCGCCCTAATATAAAATTCTTTAGCAATATGGGACAGAGATCATTCATTTTCGAATTAGACCAGCAAAAAAATACCTAATGAACACAAATTACCAGTAGAGTGAATTTCAGTTACTTATGGTCCATAAATGTGGCCGGACACTATTAGCAACAACCAACTGTGGGAAAGAACAAATCAGATCCCAGCGGAGGAAGAAATCAGGAAGAAGAGCTGGAAGTGAATAGGACACACATTGAGGGAAGCACACAACTACGTCACAAGACAAGCCCTCACTTTGAATCTTCAAAGCCAAAGGAGGAGTGAAAGACCAAAGAACACATTACACCGAGAAATAGAGACAGACGTGAGAAGAATGAACAATAATTGGATGGAACTAGAAAAGAAGGCCCAGGACAGAGTGGGTTGGAGAATGCTGGTCGGCGGTTTATGCTTTATTAGAAGTAACAGAACATTTTTGTAAAATATGTGAAACATACAATAAATACTTCATTTGCAAATCTTCCATCAGTTATCTTTCACATTGTGTATGATTCTTCCAATTCACAATTCCTTTGTATTTCCCTTTCTGTTTTTTCAACTCGATCCTCTTAGCCTTGTGGTATCGTGCAACGCACTTTTCATGGGTGTTACATACTATTTATTTCTCTCGACATAAGTAGCATATACCACAATACTACTACTACTACTGCTACATATGGGGGATATTTAGAGATGGTCGAATTTTGTAATGGACATAACGGACTCATTTTATTTGAGCAACCGTCGAAACCCAAGGACCACTGAGTCAGTGATAGAGTCATGAGTACACAACGGTTGGCGAATACAATCAACAGCCAACTGAAATCTGCATTTTGACAGCATATACTGAATTCAAACGGGTATTCTTTTGCATAATAATATATGCTGACTCATATACCTTGATGCTCTTTAACATTTAAAGCTCATTCACACCATAGATATTGGTTTACAGTTGAAAACGGTCATTAGGTTCCTCGTTACTTGGAAGCAGTAAGATGACAAGCTCAAAAGGTATAAATTAACTCGAAAATCTCATTAGTCATGACCATGAATTATTGGATTACTAAAAGTAAACAATAAAATATTCCTACGACACACGCTTAATTTGTGTATCTCTTCACTCTCTGGATTACCTTTGTACCGAGCAATTTGAGTACTAAACATTAGTGATTTCACGTTACTTATAGACTGAAAACTTTAGCCACTTGTTTGGAAAAGTGTCTAACACTAATCAGAATTCTGGTCTAAAACAATATGAGTGGTCTCATCAGATCATAGGCTCTTCCAGAGATTTTTGCAAAACAATTATTTTCTAAAACTCTGGCTACTTTTAAATTATAAGTAGTTAAAACCATATTAAGAAAAATGTTTGGCCTCATTGATACATGTGTATTAAATTCAAGTTCTGGTGGAGAAGATTTGTAGCTCAGGTGGATGATTTTGATATGGTTTTGTTCACTGAGATGGATGGTTTGGTTGTGGAGCTTTCATCGTTCTTCTGAACGACATCATCAGCACAAAATTCAGACAGAAGTGAAGGTCAATAAGAACCAATCAACGTCAAGATGTACAGAGCAAGCTATGAAACGCATATGGAGAAATTCTAACACTTCACTTCTATCTGAAGTTTGTGCTGATGATGTCATTCAGAAGAACGATGAAAATTTCATGACAAAACTTCAGAGAAGAAAACTCCGTCGATGTTTGACTTCTGCCTGGAGCCCCTCTGAGGCTACTGCCGGTCCCAAGCCCGGATAAAGGAGGAGGGTTAGGTAGGGGATTAGAGACCACATCCCGTAGAAAACTAACTCGCTAACGAAAACACTAACCAGAAAAAATAATTTTATCCCATACTATTCATATTTCCATATTTCAATATTACAATGGTTACATCATCATCATAAATTCTCTTATTCATTCCTTTCAAAAGGCATATGAATCACTATCTAAAACGGTTTTAAATATTATAACAAATCGTCAAAATGATTTATGGACAAGTATATTAGAACAAGAACAATCGGTAACAGAGAATTTATTGAAAGCGCAATTAGAACAATTAAAATTATTGATAACTAGTGAAAATGCTGCTTTAAAACGATGTCAAATGGATTATGATAATCGTATTGCTTATTTATCAGTTACATTGGAAGCTACTCAAAAAGTAAGTTATCAAGATAGATTAAGTTATTTTATTTCTTTATGTCTGTTAGATCTATCAAAGCGTCTAGCTCACCCGATTGAGATACGCACAAAATCGAAGTTCCAAAACAACGATTTGTCTACAATAGCGATTCTTTAGTGAATAATACACAAATTTTAGTTACAAACCTCAACTTGCGAGGTGTCTGGGGCGTTTAAACGCGTCCTTCAAGTATGAAAATAGAAAGGCTTCCTGTAACAGTAACATAAAGAATAATGATAACGTACGATAGTACAAAAGACAGCTAACAGCTGTGACTAAATTTGATAACTGTTTACGAACAACCGAAACCCGAACCAAGAGCAAAACAATATGGAAACTGTTGCGTTTAAACAAATGCAAAAGACTGTGGATAACCGCTACAGTGATTAAGGTACAGTAATTATAATCATAACTACAATGATAAGTACAATAAACGTTGTAAGTACATGTGAAAATTTCAGAATATTACACTATAACTTGCGTCACAACGTAAGTGTAAAAATTGTTCGGAATACAACTGCTTACTGAATGTAAATAAGTAGTATAAGACAACATACAAAAGAATGGAAAGGGAACGAGTAGGAACAATGTAAGACAAACGTAACAATGTCACTCTGTATGATACATGAGCAAGAATGATAATGAATGGTTGTTTGCATAGTCAAACTTGTAGATAGTCTGACAAGCGTTGGATGAGTTATATTATTCTGCTATCCTTATTACTATTGATTGATTGTTGCGGGACTGTGTTGGATTGTTGTCGGTTTTTGATGTGAAAAATATATATTTACGTTCTAGTCAGATTAATCACGTATTCTTGATCTGAGTTGTTTTGAAATCCTGTAGAATAAATACTGAGAGGGGATTGATTGTAGATAATCGTAAATTAACGTCCCATTCGTGTAGACATGGAAAACTAAGCGTTATAACGTTATGCTAAGCTGGACACCATTATCTATGATAGCCTTTAATCAGAATAGAAGAATTCAGAAAGAATGTGAGACTATAATTTATGGATGAACTTTGATTGACGCTAAAATGACCTTGAGAGTGTCCAACTAATAACCAGGACCAAATGAGGGTTACAATCCAGTGTAAGGAATTAGAATTATGATTTACAGTTGATGATTAGAGTTAGGAACTAGATTTGGAGTTTTGATCACAAATTAACATCGCTTATAATACCATGAATCTATTTAGGCAAATGGATGAGTGAATTTTGCACCAAAATTTGTAACGTGTTATCTTATACCTGATTGGTTTGTCCATAAATTATGGTCTTGTCAGAAACCATTTCTCATTTAAGTTGACTTATTTATTAGTCTAATATCAAGAATCGTCAACAAATGTGATTACAACTTCTCAAGCATATTATTTCTTATTATAATATTGTAGTGTGTACTACTGATTTCGACAGATATAAGTAGTCGGTATAATCAGTCGAAAGTGAAATATCTGGTGGAGGAAGGTGAAGAAGATCAAAGAGAAATGAATGAGAACAAAGACTGATTGATATGGAAACAAAAAAAACAATGAAATCACAATTGATTGATCACTGGGTGGTGATCAATGTCATGCTTGTCTAGTCCTGAAAGTAAGCACAGAATACAATGGATAGCTTGGAATCGGTTAGAAGATTTGAACTTCACATATGACCTAGCTCTTCTATCATATTCTCACAAACGAATGCAGATTAAAACAATCATAGGAGTAGCAGCCTCTGCATCAGTAGGCCTCAACATACACAAATGAAAAATCAAGATCCTCAAGTACAACACAGTGTACACCAACCCAATCACAATTGATGGAGAAACTCTGGAAGATGTGGAATCTTTCATGTACCTGGGAAGTATCATCGGTGAACAAGGAGGATCAGATGCAGACTTAAAGGCGAGGATTTGCAAAGCGAGGGCCGCAACCCTACAATTAAAAAAACATATGGAACTCAAAACGATTGTCAACCAACATCAAATTCAGAATCCTTAATACTGATGTCAAGACATTTGGATTGTACAAAGCTGGAGCTTGGGAAACTAACACAACCATTGGATTTGAGTCCCAGAGTGAACATCAAATCTGGGATACAGGTAACTTCAGCTGACATATACCAAACAGAACGAAACGCGCGTCCTGGATTTCACTGCTAGCTAACATCCATCTATTTCAGTTCCTATAGGGTTAACTCTTCCTAAGATGTGTGATTTACATTTGAAAAAAAGGACTTAATATTCCGATCGCATATTTCAAGTTGAAGTTGCATACATATAAGATGAAGTAGCAGTCCCATTTGTTGAAGTCGCTCAAAAATCACGTCTTCTCTAAAACCCTCTGTAAACCGATCGTACGTGAGCATCAGGTACTGAAATCGGCTCCGTGACCTTGAATCCCTCAAACGCTTCTGATTAGCTCGTCCATAAATTAGAGTCTCGCCGTGACTACTTATTTTGACTCGTAAATCTTCATGTTGAATGACTTAATCGTAGAGGTATTCCACAAACGGTGTTGTGATGATGTTCGTCACAAATACTAACTGATGTTATTACACTTGGTACTTCCAACAGTCATATATTTAATCAATCAATCAAAGAATGTAAACCTTCCTGTAATCCTTTTTTATTATCATCAGTGTATATGGGTATCCATACTTCATTACTGCTAGTAAACAATAAGACAATCGGCTTTACCACCCCCAGCATAACAAGTTACATAAAGTAATTATTGAGACGGGTTAGAAATGTCTCTTCGGGAACTCCACTCCCTACAGATTCACATGACGATAAAGTACCGGTTACTCTCACATGTCTCTCCCTATGAGTAGTAACATCTTTAATCTGACACCTAACTTAACAAAGGATTCCAAAATGTCTTTGTTTTACTTCGATTCCTAACTGTGAAAACTTAATTAAAGCTGTAATGGGATCTATAAATATTACATACACAATCATGTTTCCATCCATATTCGGTTATTTTAGTGGGAAAGTTAGGTGAACAAAAACCACAGGTAAAAAAGCCACACCTTCGTCTAATTAAACCGTTATTCTCCTTGATCTCATGGGGAATACAGTCATGAACTGTTTAAATCAATTTTCTTTGGAAACATTTTTACCAAGACATATAAACTTAAATTTCGTAATTTTGCTTGCTACCGAGGAATATCAAGCGTAGAAGTATGTTCGTATGAAAGTGATGAATCATTATCATCAACTTTGTTTCATGGTTATCTTATGCTAAACGAAGTACTTTAAGCTGTTAAAACAGTCACGAACTATTAAAGATTGAAAACAGTTATCGTACCAGTTCATCGAATGATTTAGTGAAAGGATCATAGTCAATGCACCTCGATTAATATGGGAAAATAGAAAAAAATCAATATAATTGACCGTTAGGAAGAAAATAACGGACATACACTGTAACAAGTTATAAATCAATGACGTGTACTGTTGTCATGTTATCTGTCATGTTATTTTATTCACTATCACATATATTTTGTTGAATATTTTAACCTACTTAATTTTAGTAATAAGTAGTATAAATTTTTAATGACAAAAATGTTTCATTTTTACAGTTTGCTGAACATGAATTTGCTGAAGAACAAGAACGCTTAATACAATTTTATTTTCCTAATTCAGATATGAATAATTTACGTTCAGCTTCTGGTTATCCATCAGAAACATTTCAAAGAGATTATTCTTTACATGAATTAAATAATGATAATACACAACTGTTGAAAAATAATACTGATAATAATGAAAATTCACCAGAAAATATACGTCCAGTATCAAGTTCCATAAGAAAATTTGAAAAATATACAAATGAACATGGACAAAAAGTAATTCCGATCACATTTAAAACACCATCTTCATCAAAATTTAATTCAACTAATATTCAGAGGGAAATGGTACTTCGACAAGATACTAATTGAATTGAAATTTTGAATGTAAACGATTCATAGTTGTATGAATATGTATTTAACTATCAAATAGAGAGGGAGGATGTGGGTGTGTGTGTGTGTGTGGGTGGGTTGGTGTGTTTGTACATGGGAAGGGGGACGTTGTAACCATGAAACTTATAATTCAATAACTTTTAATGATATACCGATTTTCGATGATTGATTAGTTTGTTTTTCATAAAACTTGATTTCAAGCATGTATACTTAACTACAAAAATACATTCACTTTCATGTATGTAGAATAGAGAATTTCATTTTTACCTTAGTTATTCTCATTTTAATAGATGAAATTGATATGAGATGGTTTAAGATGAATAGGCTTGTAGCTACGCAATATTGGGTCAAAATAGTTAACTAAATAGGTGTTCGATATTGATTCTGAACATTTTACCTATAATCGTAATGAATTTTCCTGTACAACTTTGCCTGTCCATTAGACAGTTATTTATTTTCAAGATAGTTTCACTCTTTTCTACTTTTATCTAAGGTCGAATATGATGTTTCCATTATCTATTATAGTCTACTTCGATCATTAGTGTTTGTTTTATGGGTAAAACATTACAGATCAGCATCGTTCGATTATGATAGATCACGCTAACCTCTTACCTGTATATACGATTATGGTAATATGACTTTCAGTAAATACTTTGTTGAATGAAGTTATGTTTTATCAGTGATTACTAGCATCTAGAACACTAAAAGCAATCAACTTCAGGATAAGTCTGCTACATTTTTTTAACTGAAATATCACAGTCTATTTATTCTAAAACGTACATTTTGATGACTGTATCGTGGCAATACACTGATGATTCAAAAATATGTTAACAATAATGATACAAAATTCTATGCTAAAGGTCAGAAACCGGATATTGTTAACCCTTATCAATAAAACCAGCTATTATCAGAAGGTGTTTTGTGGAGATTTTAGAAATTTCACTGAGTGAAATCATGAGTCAGTTGAAGCTAGATCACCATGGAAAACCTGGAAGCACTGGACGGTCGTTTCGTTCTAGTATAGGATTCCCCAGCAGTGCGCATCCAGGACCTCCAGGTTTTCCATGGTGATCTAGGTTCAATTGACTTATGATCTCAACTAGTGACATTTCTAAAATCTCCACAAGACCCCTTTTGTTAATAAGCATCTGCTCACTAGTGACTGACTTCAAGAGGCATTTCCTGGAGTTCCAGTGAGAAGCCATTACCAGTGGAGGTCAACCAGGTCTGTTGTGAAATATTAACACACTGGAGACAATGGTGTACGGTGGCGCAACTTCGTGGATTGGTTGAAGTTGGACATTAAAAACATTTGATGACGTCCGGCTCATTGGCCTAGTGGTTAAGCGCTGACGCGCGATACTGATAGGTCCTGGGTTCGAATCTCGCGGGGTGCGGGGTTACGGGTGCGCGCTGCTGAGGAGTCCCGTACTAGGAGGGGACGGCCATCCAGTGCTCCCAGGCTTCCCGTGGTGGTCTGGCTTCTATTGACTCATGATTTCAATCGGTGAAAAATCAACCATTGTAAATATTTTTCTTCATACAGGGAGTCGATAGTTGATTACTAGTAACCCCTCTAGCTGTTATACTGAATGACAAGATTTTGAACCTTTTAAGGATTATGAGTTCTCGTATAATTGTAGATAAACCTTGTCATCAATTGGGAATTAATACAAATCAGTATCAATGGCTCTTTTCTTATTTTTGCTGACCACTTAATTTTAATAATCAAAACGCTTCACGATTTTACGTGTCATTCTTGCGCTTCGGCGGTGCATATACTAAAATTGGAACGATACAGAGAACATTAGCATCGCCCTCTGCAAGAAATGGTAATCATAAGCATTTTACAATTCAGAACATAGTTAAACATGTAAAATAAAGAAAAAAACACTATCTTTATTGATCATCGTTACAAAGTCACGAACAACCAGTAGAATAACTGGATCGTGGCTATCAGTGTAACTGAGGACAAGCGTTTTATTCTATTTAAGAACTCAAAACAACTGTCTGTCAACCAATATCAAAGTCACAATCTACAATACGAACGTCAAACCAGTTCTACTGTACGGAGCTGAAACTTGGAAAACTACTATAACCATCATCGAAACAGTACAAGTATTTATAAATAGCTGTCTACGTAAGACATTCAATATCCGTTGGCCAGATACCATCAGCAGCAGCGTTCTGTGAGAGAGAACAAACAAGCTTCCAGCTGAAGGCGAAATTAGGAAAAGACGATGGAAATGCATAGGACATACATTACACAAATAATCCAACTGCATCTCGAGGCAAGTGCTAACTTGGAATCCTGAAGGGAAGTGGAAAAGTGTAAAGTTAAAGAGCAAATGACGTCCGTAAAATCGAAGCAGGTTTGAAAAGGATGAATAATAACTGGAAAAAGTTGGAAAGGATTGCCTAGTACAGGGTTCGATGGAAAGTATTGGTGACCGGTGTCTGCTCCTTTACGCGGGGTAGCAGGCGTAATTAAGTAAGATTATTAAGTCTAGAGTTCAGAATCTTTGATGATAATGATAATTTGAACCAAAAGACTTTCATTATTAGCTCTTAATGCGTTATCTACTGAGCTACCGAGTTCATGGAGCTACTGCCTTATGTAAATTTAATATGATTTATAGTGGGATGAATTATCCCTTTCACTGATCAAAATCCACTTAATCGAAATCATTATAAGTTTAATTCAACAAATGATAATCATAGTTTAGAATAGGACATTATTTCACATCTTCCGAAAGCTTATATTCAATATGCTTCACTATTATATACACAATTTCAATAATCCATCCAATATTGTGTTAATGAGCAACATTCAACTATTAAATTACCACGATCTTCATCAAACCCCTTTCTGATAATAATCATCATATGCTCACTAGTAACTGACATGAAGAGGTATTTCCTGCAGTTCTAATGACAAACCGTATCCAGTGAAGTTCAACCAGGTCTGTTGTGAGATAGTAACTCGCTAAAGATAATGGTGGATGTTGGTGAAATTTCTTGGATTAGTTGAAGTTATGCAATATCGCCGGTGGATGCCGACTCAGTAGTCTAGGGGTTAAGCATTCGCGTGCGGGACCGAAGGCCCCTGGTTCGAATCCATAAGCGGGATCGTGGATATGCAATGCTGAGGAGTCCCATACTACGATAAAAACGACCGTTCAGTGCTCACAGGTTTTCTATGGTGGCCCAACATAAATCGATTCATGATCTCAATTACTGGGAAAGTTTCTACCAAGAAACTAATAGTTGTGTTGGGAGTGTGTGAATAATCGATTTATGTGCTTAACCATTGACACATCCTGATCATACTGTCATACATGGAACTTCAACTTTCTTCTTGAATTAAAAGTGACATTAACCCAGTTCAAATATCCTTAGCTATCAGTAAATAAGTTAGTTAGAATTACAAATACTGTCAGTTGCTTTCGTGAATTGACGTCATAAACATTTTTAATGAATTCTTAATTATCAGTATAGGGTTATGGAGATTGTTGATATCATGAATGAATCAATGTTCAACTACCATTGGAAACCTAAAAGCACCGGATGACTGTTTCGTCCAAGAATGAGATTCTTCAACAATATGCATCTACGTCTCCGCATGGAGGACTCAGACCTTCTGGGTTTAAATCGTGGATGTGGACTAGTTGAGAATCTCACACTAGAACAAAACGGTCGTTCAATGCTTCAAGGTTCTCCAGGATGGTCTTGCTTTACAATCTTCACCAAAAAAAACACCTTTCTGATAATATACCCTTGTTTTAATTCACTTTAAAAACCAAATATATAAAACACACAAAAAATACATCTTAATAATAATCTGTTTAAATGATGTTGGCCTTTTTTTCAGTTTTCTCTAAGCGACTACAAATACAATTACATAACAGGAACCAATAGTTTTATATTGAGATGACAGATTTAATTGGATATACATTGAATTATACTCTCATCTCAAGCCAATATATGTATATAGGAGTGTAATGTAGCAATTCAGGTTTTAAGTTTCCAATTCACTTAGTTATGTATAGACAATTGTGCAATTACATTCTTTATAACAAAATGATATAGTTTCTCTTGAGGATATGACTTCAATAATCAATAGTAACTATGACCGAGAGAGTGAGAGAGAGAAAGAGAGGGAGGGAAGGAAGGAAGGAGGGAGGGAGGGAGGGAGGTAGGGAGGGAGAGAAGGGGAGAGAAATGAAACAAATGAGTAATAATAAATAAATTATATTTGTTCAATCAGTTCCATATAAGATACATAAGTGTAAACATATTGATTGAATAAAAATTAAAAAAATATTTTAGAATCCATGTGCAAAACATCAACCAACCAACAAACAAATCTGTATCATTTTGGAAGTAAATTATAAATTCATTTATTCAGAACTTATACATGCAATCCATTTCATAAAGTATAGTTGTCCTTTGTTGATGAGCTGAATTGTTTAGTTGTGAAACTTTAACATTAACACAAACTTCAAGTAGATAGCTCGAATAGTTGAATGATATGAATTCGAAAACTATAGTGAGCATCCATTCTCAAAAGATTCCGAGTATGATTTGTCGGTCTATGTGTTGGGGACAACTCCGCTTGAAGTCCCTCCGGGGAGCTACTGCCGGTCCCAAGCCCGGATAAAGGAGGAGGGTTGAGCATAGGCTTAGCGACCATATCCCGTAGAAGACTAACTCGCTAAAACAACGCTAACTAGAAAAAATTACTCGAGCCATTTAAACTCTGCTCTAGGAGTCAGAAGGTCTTCATTTAGAAGAGTTATGACGCCTCATAATGAAAGTCGAGTTCCTTCGGAAGTCACGAGCCATTAGGAGTAACAGGCATTAGTAAATAAATAAGTGTTGGGGACGTCAGATCCCTTAAATTCACTTGGATATGGACCTAATTTTGTAATTTTATTTAGAACATTTGAATTTGTTTGTTTTCGCTCCAAAAGCGCTCTTGTCATCTTCATGTCGTATTTCCCACTTAGGAAAATCTTAAATGCTATTGGTCCGTTATGTCTCTTAGTATACTATTTTGTAACCCATCCCAAGAACGGTTTTGTGCGGTATATATATATACGTTTTGATTTGTGTCTGTTGTTATCGCTCATGCTTCTGGCTTTTTTTGTGGAATATACTTCCCTGTTCGAACTTCGACTTCTCTTTATAGTTAGAGGATCTGGGATGCAACAGAATAGCTAGTTTATTGATCTTTGGCCACAAATCTTTGTTCCGTTCACAGA